AATAATAATAATAATAATAATAATAATAATAATAATAATAATCTGGGAGGGCCAGACGAATAGCTCAGCAGATTAAAGCACCTGCAAGCAGGCACAGGGGCTGAGGGTTCAATCCCCACGTCTGCTGTGCTGGCCCTGTCCCCAGGGCACGCTGAGATGGCAATTGACACTGGGCGTGGTGCTGTGGGCCTGTAATCCCAGCTCTTGGGAGGATGTAAACAGGTAGATTACTACAAATCTGATCTAGTAGTAAGACCCTGAACACTCTGGAGACCCTTCCCTAAAAATTAAAAAAAAAAAGGACATAATCTGCATCAAAGGAGAATCAGGAGTGAAAAGGCAACCAGAATACAGAAAGAGCTGCAAATCATACACCTGATCAGGGGTCAAGATCCAGAATATACAGAACAGCCCTCCCACTCAACCACAAAAGCCCAGTTCAAAAATGAACAAATGTCAGCTATTTTCCACAAATGATGTGCAGATGATAATAAACACATGAAAATGTGCTCATCACTGTCTGCCATGAGAGATGCGTAAAACCAAACTACAGTGAGTTAGTTATTTCTACAGCTCCTCAGGATAAACAAGTATTAGTGAAGATGTGGAGAAAGTGGAACACATACCCTGCTGGTGGGGGGTATAATAGCGCAACTTTCCTGGGAACAGTAAGGCAACTCCTCTTAAAATCAAATAGAAAACGAGGGGCTGGAGAGATGGCTCAGTGGTCTAAAGCGCCTACTTGGAACAAGCTTAGCAAAGCACAGGGACCGCGGTTCGATCCCCCAGCACCACATGCCAGCCAGCCCCACCCCCTGGTGAGCTGAGCTGGCCACACACACACACACACACACACACAAAATAATAATAATAATAATAAATAAATGTTAAGAAAAAACAGTCTCATTGCTGTTTATCAATAAAACTTTGAAAAAAAAATAGAAAACGACATGTAGTAATCCACTTCTCAGGGGCCTGCCCATTAGCTCAGATGTTTAACTGCCTGCCAATGCTAATGCAGTCAGGAGTAGGATACCACAGTTCAATCCCCAGGTCCACCTGCTTTACCAGTCCTGCCCTTCAGGCAGCCTGAGTCACCAAAAAAAAAAAAAAAAAAAAAAGAAAAGAAAAGAAAAAGTAATCCACTTCTGGGATTACTGAAAGAACCAAAAGCAGAGTGCCCAAAAGAGTCTTTTTATGTTTACAGCTTGTCATTCATAATAGCTAAACTGTGGGACCAACCAACCCAACTGCCCATCCACATATGAATGGATAAACAAATTATGAGGTGTAAATATATAGAGATAAACACTATCCCCCCACCGCTTTTTTGTCTTTTTTTTTTTTTTTGCAGAACCGGGGATTGAACTCAGGTCCTTGCACTTGCCAGGGAAGTGCTTATTCCACTGAGAAATCTCCCCGGCCCCACTATTGCCCCTTAAAAAGAAAGGCCATTCTGATATAAACTACAGTATTATATAAACTACAGTATGAACCTTGAAAACATTGAGGTTAGGCTGGTTAGGTTAAGAGAAATAAGTCACATATTGTGTGATTTCAATCCTATGTGATCCCTCAATCAAATTCAGAGACAGGAAACAGAAGAGTGGTTGCTGGGGTGAAATGCAGGAAGGAGGTCTAGGGAGTTACGTTTCATGGGTACAAGGTATCTGTTTTGCAGTATGAAGGTTCTGGAGATGTACAATATTGTGAATATACTTGACACTTAATCTCAGCACTCAGGAGGCTGAGGCAGGAGAGCTTGAGGCCAGCCTGGGCTATGCAGTGAGTTCAGAGACAGCCTAGTCAAACCCTGTCTTAAGACAGAACGAAACACTTCCTCTCCCCAAAAAGACTAACATGTCTACATATAGGAGATGTAGCTTAGTGTAGGGCACTTGCCTCTTATGTATGAGACCCCAAGGCTATGGTTTTGATCCCCAAGGCACTAAGATGGTTTTATATATGACATTTTTTTTTTTAATAGTCTCCTTGTAGCCCATGTTGGCCTTGAATTCACAGTGATCTTCCTATCTCAGTTTCCCAGAGTGCTGAGATTACAGGCATGTACTATCACCCCTGGTTCAAAATGGTACTTCAAAAAAACCTTTTTTTTAAACAATGTATTATTATTATTATTATTATTGGGGTTTTTTTGGCGGTACCAGGGATTGAACTCAGACCCTTGTGCTTGCCAGGGAAGCACTTATTCCACTGAGCCACCTCCCTGGACCCCCATGCAATGTATTATTGTAACTGTCTTACTAACCTGTTTTGAAACTATCTTATTGCTACTTCTTTCTCAATAAAATTATTTAAAAAATTATTTTTGAGACTGGATTTCACTATATTTTTCAGGCTAGGTCTCTACCTGCCTCAGTCTTCTAAGTAGCTGGGACTGCAAGCACATGGAACTGTTCTTGGCTAAAGATGGTAAATTTCATGTCATACATATTTTATCCCAATTAAAAAAAAAAAAAAAGGAAGCATGATGGGAAAGCAAGGGTCCTAAGAAGACAGTGTAGGAGAAGGTGACCAGTTTGCCTGGAGAGGTGGGCAGGTATGAAATTCAAAGTCACCCCACTGGGCGTGGTGGGACAGGTCTGTAATCCCAGCACTTGGGAGGCTGAAAAACAGGAAGGATCACTAAGAGTTCGATCTGTGGAGTGAGACCCTGTAGACCCTGTACTAAATGCATTAAAAAAAAAAAAAAGACAAAGTCACCCCAATGTGATCATCTTCCTGGGGCTGGAGGAAAGGACACCTGTGACTGACAGTGGAAGAAGTGTGTGAGAGGTGGAGGAGACTTAACTCTGGGCAAAGAACTACCAGGAGAAACATCCAATAGAGATGACAAGTGGTGATGGTGATGGCTGTGAACACATAGAGCGTGCCAGGGCACCACCCCTGGAGGGTATGCATGAGATGGAAGAGAAAATGTGCTGGGAGGGCTGGGGCCTGGGTTCAGATTTCTGTCCCAGCCCGAGTATCTATCTGCCCCTGTGCCCCCACCAGCCAAGTGTCCTGGCAGGTCAGAGGCTTGTCTTTCTGGCTCCTGGATGTCTGCCAGTGTCCAGGAAGGCACTTGGCACACTACAGCCTCTGGGGTCATGTCACGGAAGAATGAGCAAAAAGGAGGTTGGGCAAGAAGCAGGCTAGCAGCTTCTTGGGTGAGGCGATTCAGCTGGAGCCATGTGGCAAAGGTGAGGCTTAGGTAGAGGAGGGGTTAAGGACAGAGGAAGGGCAGGGTGGAAGGACAGGCAAGGAGGGACAAACCGAATTGGGAAGGGGCATTAGGGTCCTGGCCCAACCTGCCCAACCCATGGACTGCTAAGGCTGGGAAGGACAAGCACTAGCTAGGGCCACACTCACTCACCTGGGAGTAGACAGTGGCATGGACCCAGGCAAGACGGCGGCTCAGGTGATCCAGCTTTTCTGAGAAAACTTTCTGGCTCTTGGTCAACTCTGCAAGGATATCCTTCCTCTGCCACCCAAGGGGAAAGAAGGACAATCAAGAAGTGGACCCACACCCAGATGGCTACCAGGCAGCCTGGTCAGAGCTCAACAAGAGCCTAGAAAAGTAAAGGGTTCCAGTCAAAAAACTTTTTGGGCTAGAGTTATAGCTCAGTGGCACAAGCACCTGCCTGGCAAGAGTAAGGTCTGGAGTTCAATTTTCTGTACCTCCGAACAAACAAAAAAACCTCTCTTGCTTCTGAGCATCTGGCAACCCTAAGTGAACCCTAGAAGAGGGCCATGGACCACTCAGGTATGGAATTGAGGCCCAGATGAGGGGTTCATGAGCTCCTGTGCAGAGCACCTCCAAGACTTTGCAGCTTTATTAGCTAGCCAGGCTTCAGGGCACTGGCGACAGCGGGGGCAGGGAGGCCTGCCAGGGAAGCCTGGTTTGGACCAGGAAAGCTCCAGCAGAGGCGTTTCTAAGAGGTAGGGAGGGAGGCCTGCTTCCTGCTGACTCTGCAAGTGGCCAAGGAAGCACTCAGGACGGATCCATAATTGATGAGGAGAGAGGGTATGCATTAGCACTTAGTGGGTGGGAGCAGGGCACCTTGCCACAGGCTGCAGCCGGTCGATGGGGCTCAGGTTATACAAGGTCTCTCTGAGGGTTGCAGCCTCACCACTACTGTGGTGAGGAGGGCAACCAGGAGAACTGGGGGTGGGGCCAACCCAGAACCAGGGGCTGAGTAACACTGCAAGCTGCCCTGGCAACATCCTGACATCCCAACACCCACCTGCCTATAACCCCAGCCTTACCCGCTTGGGGCACCTGCGGATCTTGTCTTCTGTGTCCCTCAGAGCCATCGCATACTCATTGACATCATCAGATACACCCACCATCTAGAGCATTGGATGCCACATGACTAGGTGTCTTCGCATCAGCCCAGACCCCAACCTTTGGCCCAGGGCAGACTCCTCCCACAAAAGAAAACTGCATGAGCCCAAGCAGCAGCAGAAGCCAGCATCCCTGTGCCACATGCCAGACAACACCCTGCGGGACAGCCCTCCCCAGTGCATGCAGGCCATAGGCACAAGACCTTGCCCAGTTGCTGGTGAACGCTGAGGTTGTACATCATGATGGCCCCGTCTAGGACTTCCAGCAGTGAGTTCTCAGTGAGGGGCTGCTCAGGCTCCTCTGGGGGCCGCCCCAGCAGCAGGCCTTCACTCCAATGGCTGCCCTCAACTGGGGAGTGGGGAAGGCCAAGGTCAGGCTAGGCCCCCTGGCCCCCGTAAGCCTGGCAACCTGGATGGGCTTTACAGTCGGAAAGGGAGCCCTTTCTCCCCTTCCTTGTTGTGGAGGGAACTGCAGGGGAAATGGGCAGAAGCGGGGTTGGGTACAGGGAAGACACTGCAGCACCAGGACCTATTTTGGTAGCACTGACTTCCTGCCTTCAGACTGTGCTTCCGGCACTGATAGGACTCTGCTAGGCCACAGGGCAGGGTAGAGATGGGTACTTTTGACCTTGCCCAAGGTGGGCACCTACTGTCCTCACGAGTCCTCTGTTCCACGCTCAGCGTTCGAACCTTCACTTTCTCCGAGGTGCTCAGAGGCCGCCGTGGGGTCATGAGGCTCACAGCTGCTGTGCTGAGGAAGCGGTTGGCTCGGCCCAGGGTTGGTGAACTAAGCCAGCCTGGCCGGGGCAGGGGTAATGCCCCTCCCAAGGCCAGGGCTTGCATGGGGCGCTGCAGTAGAGAGGAGGTCAGAGGCAACTCAGCTCCCCACACCCAGGCCCACTGGGGTTCCTTTGATCCTCTGGGGAGGGGAAAGACTGGTTCAGACTTCACCCCAGTGAGGGAACCTGCCTGGTGAGAAGGCCAATGCCCACATGGAGGGGAGATGGGCCTAAGCACTACCCCTGCCCACATGACAAAGGAGAAGCCCTAGGTGCGGCCCCTTGCCTGCACCTGGGCTGTAGCCGGAGCTGGCTCCTCATCTTCATCTAGGTCATCCATGGTGGCTGCTTGCAGCTCCAGTGGATCAATTACAATGTTGGCTTTGGCAGCAAGGTCATCTGGAGGAATGGAAGGACAGGGCCCCACTTTCCACTGTGCCTGGCCCCAAGCTAGTGTTCTCCCTATACCTCGAGAGCCCTGTTCTAGCAACAAGGAGGAGGAGCAGGAAGCAGTGCCCACTCTTTGTCCCATTCTTGTTTTCCATGACCTCTGCTCTCTAGGGCTTTTCCTACTATACAACTGCTCCACAAATCCAGGTTCATGCTGGTCCCTGGGCCTCTGCTGCACTCTGGCCTGAGGAGCTGAGCCACATCCCAGGCTTCCTCCTGCCTCTACACTCACAACTGAGAACCATGCCTGCCTCTAACCCATGCCGTGCTGTTAGTTGCTGGGGGTGTGCCTCAGGCACACTCCATCCAAATGTGAAACTGTCACCTCAGTCTCCTCCACAGTCCCTTTTTTTCCCTAATGGTATCCTATCTATGCAGCCTCTGGTAGGACTGAGGTTATGATATACACCCTTACTCTCCACTGCCTGGTCAGCTGGCTTCCCTATTCCTTTCTCACCCACACTGAAGTGTCTAGAGGGGGCTTCTCATGACACAGACCCCAACTTCACTATCCTGCCTTGTCTGGGCCTTGCAAACCATCTCTGGGATGGTCCATTCCTGTTCTGTGGCCTGCCACGTCCCACACACCCCACCCTCCACCATTCCCAGCCTCACATTTGACTCCCAGCACACCAGCTACACACATACTATCCCCCATCCACAGGTGGTGTCTGGCATCTGTGCCCTTTGCACACTGTGCTCTCAGCCCTCTGCATAGAGGCAATCTGTGATGAGCCCTGAAGGCAGCTCAGGCAGCAGCTGCACATGCCCACCTCACCAAGACCCCACAGTTCCCCATCTGATTTCCAGTGCACTTCCTGCCTTCCTCCAGGGTGGGTGTTAAGGGGAATTGACAAAGGCAGCCTGGCTGATCAGCAGCTCCCTGTCTGAGCAGGTGGAAGGCCAGGGTGCCCTCTAGTGGGTGTAGGACAGATTGCACTCATAGGAGAGCAGAGGCTGAGCCTAAGGGACAGGGACCTGCTCACAGGACCTGCTCACAGTCGAGGAGATTCCCACCTTTGAGGGTCTTTCGAAGGTGTGAGAGAAGGCCTCCAAGGCGCTGAAGGTCGAAGTAGTCCACTTTGCCATTATAGAAGACCTGGGGCGGGATGTAAGCCTCTGCGAGTCAGAGGCCAGGCCAGTCATATTGCAGCCGTGGAACCTTGCCTGAGCCCTCTGCTCAGGTAGACCACTAGGGCCCCTGCCTCAGCATTCTGGGACAATACTTGGGCAGTTCTGTGGCCAGGTCCACTCACCATCGCTGAAGGAAGCTCGGGGGTTGGAAGCCTTGTACTCATCCCAATAGTAGCGCAGGGCAGAGATGAGCCGGTGTAAGAAGCAGACCATGTACTCAGGGGGGCAGAGCATGGGCATATTCTGTGAGCACAGGGCACAGAGCATGCCTGAGTGCTGTCCCAGAGCCCAGCCCACTTCTCAGGCAAAGCCCTGCTGCAAGATCAAGGTGATAGGCAGCAGAGGAGGGCGAGGCAGGGATAGTACAGGTTAGAAGATCTCATAAGACAGGCAACAGTGGCTTACCCCAGAGGTCACCTACCCCCCGGCCACTTGCATTCTCTTGCAGAAACTTCCGGAACTTGGTCAGGAAGATGTACCTAGAAGCTTCACCCTTCAAGGAAAAGATAATAATGGTTGTTGTTGGTTTTTTTTTGGTGGAATCGGGGTTTTGAACTCAGGTCCTTGTGCTTGCCAGGCAAGCACTTATTCTACCGAGCCATTTCCCTGGTCCCATAATGATGGTTTGAGGTGAGCTCAAAACCCTAGCACACCGGGGGCCTTCTATGGGAACCTGAGCCAGCCCCTGCTGTCTCAGTCTTAGGGCTCAGTACCACACCCCTGTGTGTCAGGGACACTCACTGGCATCTCAGAGACACTTACGCCGTTGTCATCTTTATTGTCCAATAGCAGCTTCAGAATCTGGACCTGTAGTTCTTCCACCACTGGGGGGAGGGGGCAGATGGCACTTAGGCTCCCAGAGGTGGGAAAGAGACAGAGGCTGGGGTCAGACTTCTACCATCAGGGATCCCTAAGTCCAACTCATGTATGGCCACTACCAAGCACCCTAAATACAATCATACAGAGGCAGGGGCCAACCTTCAATGCGCTTCTTGAGCCTCTGGCAGCCTCGCTCATAGGCTCGCCGGCGGAGCCGCTCCTCCCCGGTCTCCTCCTTCACCTCCTTACTCTCTTTGCCCTAGGCAAGGGCGGGGCAGAGAAGACAACAGGTCATCTAGAGCTTCCCAGCCCTAGAAAGGCACAAGAGCCTTTCTGCCACTCAGCCAGTTTACCTCCCTGCTGGAGCGGTGGGGCCACCACGTGGTAGGAATGAGCTCCTGCAGCCCGGCCTCCTCCACACGCAGGGGGCTCTTGATGTAAAAGAAGATGACAGACCGGAGCACATCGAAGCTAGCGGACGTCAAGGCATAGCTCGGCTCTCCACAGCACAGCCTATGCATCCTCCTGAGTCCTCCCTGGAAAGCCCACCCTCAGGTTCCCCTGCCTACCACTAGGTGCCCATCTCCTCTGACCAGACCCTTGAGAAAAAGCTCTGACTGTGAAGCCCACACATAACAGCTTCTCACAGGGACAGAGGATGGCGGCACAGCTGCGGAGGAAGCCTAAGCTAGGCTCTCCTACCTCTTAGTCATCTCCCCACTGTCCATTACTGGAAATTGAACCCAGGGTGTTTGGTACTGAGCTAAATCTCCAGTCCTTTATATTTTCAGACAGAGTCTTTCTAAGTCACTAAGTGATTCAGGCTGAACTCAAACTTGCAATCTTCCTGCCTCACTCTCAAAGTACCAGGATTACAGGTGTGCACCATCATGCCTGGGTTCATTTATTTTATTTTATTTTATTTTATTGTGTGTGTGTATGGTACTGGGGATTGAACTCAGGACCTTGCACTTACCAGGCAAGCGCTTATTCTACTGAGCTATCTCCCCGGTCCATCATTTAGCTCTTAATAATGTGGGGAAGCAAGAAGAGCTGTGTCCTTTGAAATCTTGCAGGAACATGTACAAAATGCAAGCCTCTGGCCAAAGAGGGCAGGGACTAGGGACTGTTGCTACACCTCCAGCAGCCACACTCTGTAATGATCTGTGAAGTCCTGCTCTGGCTGGCTGAGCACCCACCGCCCTCTGCTCCACTTTCCCTGTTCTGTAAAGAAGGTGCAGGGAGGGCTGGGTCCAGAGCCAGGGACTCAGCTCTGGTCCTTCTGAGTTTTCCTGGGGACCCCTGGCTTCTGCTGACTTCGGGGCATTACATGACTGGGTAGCCAGGAAAAAGAAGAGGATACAGGACGTTGCTAAGCAGAAATTTTCGGGACTTCTCATGCCTCAGGATGGAGATAGTGAGCCTCAGATAATGGATCTGTGGAAAGCAGGTACTCAGAATGGACAGATAGGGCTTAAGGGACCCAGGGCAGGGACAGGCACGCGCACCTGCAGGCTCAGGTCTGGGACGATTGGCGAAAACCGGTATAAGCGCAGCAAAGACATCATCAACTGCTTGAGGCAATCCTGTACCTCATAGTCCTGGGGAGAGATGCTACAGCAACCATTCGGGGCTTTTCCCAGGCCCTCCTCATACCTCCCCCAGCCGAGGTCAGGAGGCTCACCTCCATGAAGAGCCAGAAGAGGTCCAAGATCTGGTGCACCATGGACTGTGCCTGTGTAGGTGTGCCCTTCTCCACAATGCCCAGCAGGAAGCTTATGAGCACAGCCTCCACCAGGTACACCTTGTGCTGCACCGAGAACAGGCACTGTGAGATGGGAGCCTGTTCTGCTTAGGGTACCTTGCCCTGATACAGGCTGAAGCTATACTGAAGTCTGGCCTCAGCACAGCTCTGAGCCGTCCAGCAACCCCAGCACACAGATGAGCCCTCTGGTGTCTGTGAGACAAGAAAGGCCACTACCCCACAGACACTCTTGGGCTTTGCATCTGCAGTTTCTTAGCTGTGCCATCATCACCCTTCAGCCTTCTTTCTAAAACATTCCCAGATGCACTCAACCTCCCCGGGGTGCTGTCCTTGAGGTCTGAAGGTTCTGTTGCAGGGAGCCCCTGCCAGGTGATGGCATTGGGCCTGATGCACCTGCGCTCCCCTGTCCCAAGCACAGGTGTGCCTTGCATGGGCACATCTACCACAGGCTATCCTTGCCCTCTTAGGCATCCCCTCACCAGCAGTGGTGCAAAGCGATGGAAGATGTGTGTCAGAGTGAGGAGGATAGTAGGCTGCCCTTGCAGCTGCCACTCAGAGCTTTCCTTTTCCACCAGCCGACCTTCCTGTGCAAGGGGGAGATGATGAGGAGGAGGAAAGATGGGGAAAGACCCAAGTCACCCATTCCAGACCCTGGCTCACCACAGGGTCCAGCTCCACACTGAGCACTGCCCGGAAACAGCCCAACAATCTCTGGGCCCGCACCAGGTCAGGACCAGGTGGGTCCTGCAGAGGCCGGAAGCCTGTCATTGGGTAGGTGCCACAGGTTAAGGTAAAAACAGTTGACCTGAGGTTTGGACACACCCTCCCTCTCACTGAGAGAAAGGGGGACCCAGGTTTTAGAGCAGACCAGGGAAGCCTGGTTTGCATCAACATTTGCTCATTCAGTCTCTTCGGGGCAAAAATTCTCTAGCCACTTCCTGTTCTGCATGTGCTCAATGGATACAATGATGGAACCCACCTGCAAGGCCTTTGTCCTCAGATCCCTAAGTCACACTCTAGTCACTTACCCTTTGTGGCAGCCAGGGCTTACTAGTCCTACAGTCCTACCAGGGAAGGGAATCCTAGACTTTCTATGGTGTTCCTGGGGTACACAGCCCCTCACCCTAAATTCCAAACCCCCCACTGACATCATCCCAAAATGATATCGCAGAGGACGGCTGCCAAAGTTGAAGGCCACAGACTCCTTGAAAGACAGGCTGATGGCTGGGAAGTAGGCCATGCCCTGGCCCTTGGACAGGTTCTCAAAGGCAGTGCCCAGCGACACACCGTTCCTAGAGGAGAAGGGGAAGCCTATGAATCAGTGCCAGGAAAAATGTTACTGTCTACCTGCAGGCTACCAAACAGCCTGGTCTCTGTACAGGGACCAGGAAATGGGGCAGTCAGAGAAGGCTCCCGAGGCCAGGCCTGTGGCTAGAGCTGGAAGACTCACAGGCAGAAGGAGAGAGTACCAGCGTCCAGGTCAATCAGGCAGCTCACAATGTCCCCCGCTGCCCATGCCTGCCATGAAACAAGGCCTTCAGGTACAATGAAACATAGTAGCTTACCCATTCTACAACCCTAACAGCACTCCCAAAAGTATCCAGGTGACATCGGTCACCAAAGGAGAGGACCTGAGTGCCTGTCCTTGCCCTGTTGTTTAGTCTTTCATGGCTGCCTGATGGCTCCACATAAGCTGTGGGGATGGATGGGGTGATGACCCACAGAGGCTTGGCCCTCACCTTGCCATAATTGGTTGTAGTCACATTCCACTTGCGTACCCGGTTCCCATCATAGGCATACGAGTTGGGTGTGTCTCCAACCCCTTCCTAGGGAGGAAGTGTCTGTGAGGTCTGGGGCAGCCAGAGAGGGCAGGCCAGCGCCCAGCAGTCACCGAGCTTGGACCCTCACTGCTCTAGACAAGGGGGCTATGTTCTTGAGGGGAAAAATGAGAGGGATTGTAAGTGAGGTACCCTAGAGTAGAGTGGGGTGTTGTCTCTCTGCGGTGTGTGTTCCCAGGTAAGATCTTTAGCAGGTCTGGGGACCAGCAGAACCCTAATGATGCTTTGGTGGGAGGTCTCCCTGGGAGGGGCCCCCCTTTCCGTTGGGGTACCTCCTGATTAAAGCGGCAGCTGATGGTACACCAACCAATCTGCATGAGTCCCTGGGAGGAGATGAGCACTTCATAAAGCCACTTCCCTGGAAAGAGTGAGATTAGGGGCAAAAAGACTGCCTTTTACCTCAGGCCTAGGCCTTAGGCCTCCTCTAACCTTTCTGGGCCTAGTGGGGGGCAGGCTCACCTTTATATACACATGTGGTGGAGCGGATAGTCCCAAAGTTGCTGTGTCCAATCACCTGGGGGAAGAAAAGGAGTGGTGACCTTCATCCCAGACACACAGACCCCAGCACCAGCCTAGCCAGTCCAGGTCACATTATCCTGTTGTACTCAACACTGCACTGTGACTGAATGAGATGGGAGGGCTATGCCTGTGTTAGGAGGTTTTGGGCCAGAGGCATCACAGGACAGGACCAGGGCTTTGTTGCAAAGGCTTGAGGCTCAGGCTATATCAAAGCTTAAGGCCATGTCAGGTGGGTTTAAGAGCTGACAGCACTGGGCTGGTGAGATGGCTCAGTGGTCTGAAGCACCTACTTAGAACAGGCTTGGCAAAGCACAGGGACTGCGGTTCAATCCCCCAGCACCACATGCCAGCCAGCCCTGCTGCCTGGTGGGCTGAGCTGGCCACGCACACACACACAAATAAATAAATTTTAAAAAAAAGAGCTGACAGCACAAGGGTCTGGGGCCATGTCAGGATGTACTTATGGCTTCAGCCCCATTGGGATGAGCGGGATGAGCAGGGCCTGAATAAGCTGGATGTCAGAAGGACCCTGGAGTTGGGCCCAAGAGGGCTGTGCAGGGCCCAAAGCCTTCCTGCACTTACCTCCAGGAGGTCATCATCCACCAGAAGAAGCCCCTCAAAGCCTCCTGTATGGTCTAGTACTACCGTGGATGGCCCAAGCCGCCCTTCAACCTGTCCTGGGAAGGGAAAAGATAGAGGGTGAGGCAGGGCAGGGGTCTATAAAACTCTCCAGTCATGGTGGCACATGCCTGTAATCCCAGCACCTGGGAGGCTGAGGCAGAATGCCATCACCCTGAGTTGGCACCAGCCAACTGGCTGCATAGTGAGTTCAGCCTGAATTACAGAGCAAAACTATTAAAAAAAGAAGAAGAAGTAGAAGAAGAAGAAGAAGAAGAAGAAGAAGAAGAAGAAGAAGAAGAGGAGGAGGAGGAGGAAAAAAGACATATAGGATACTCTGAATTCCATATCCCCTCACCAACTACCAAGGGTGCCACCTACCCTGGCTTTCTTCATCTTCACTGTCCACCTGAAGCAGCTGGTCCAGACGTTCTGGCAGGTTCTGGAAGTTCAGCAATTTCCTGGGGAGAGTGAGAGGCTACCAGGGGCCCACAAGCCTTTGATATCAGCCAGATGATACCAAACCCTTCTCTTACTCTTTCCTCAGTTTCCAAGGATAGCTGCCTAGACTCCATAAAAATGACTGTCATGCTGGGAGTCAGGAACTGGGATGAGGCACTAAACTAAAAATTATAACCAGCCCAATTTGGTGCCTTGGAACTGTTACAAAAAAAAAAAAAAAAAAAAAGAAGTCTTCCCTAACTCGTAGTTCTCTTATCTGTAAAAAGAGAACAACAACTATGTCAGATATGCTATGAAGATTCCAAGGAATAATACATACTCTATGCCCCCTACTTTCAAAGGCAGTCGAGTTGATGATGGCTGGGAAAAGTAGGGCAGGAGGAAGGCCAGTCCCTGAGGTGGCCAATACCAAGCCCACCTAGGTTAGCTCTTGACCCTTGTGGCTCCTCTGGGAACAGACTTTCAGTGTTGAAATAGGCATGCCCTAGCAGTAAGAAGGGCTCAGTCTTGGGCTGCTCACTGGCTCTGTCTTGTACCCTCAGCTGGCCAGCAGAGCACACATGACTTTCCTGTCCAAAGAGCCTGGGAAATCTGTCTGGATGACTACCTCCTCAGCATGCATGCCCAGAGTAGAAAGGGCACTGTCTTATGCAGGCCAGTCCTGTCCTGAGCTCAGTGCTAAGAATAGTAGGCAGTGGGGTGGTGGCAACCAGCAGGACTCAGGAGGGCAGAAGTTTGATACCTATCTGGATCCAGCCCATCACTGCCAGCAGCTGCTCTTCCACCTTTAATCTCAGCGTCCACCCCCACTCATCTACCTGAAAAGTAGTCCGTGGAAGGGGATGCAGGTGAGTCAAAGCACCAACTCCCACAAGCTGACTATAGTAAAGCTTGGGGACCACATGTCCCCCTGCTATGAGTCACACTGACCCTGAATTGAGAGGTCCAAAGAGCCATCTCTATTCCTGCTGAGCCCAAGGTAGAGGGCAGCCATGCAATGGGAAGCTGAAGTCAACCACATATCCAAACAACCCAATGAATCCTCAAAAGTAGTTCTTGCAGGTCTCTGCTTGGGAGGGCCACTCTCACGTTCATGCCTTTCCTTAAGCACAATGTCACAGAGCTGTGGAAAGAATGCTAGAGACAGCCTCCACTAAATGCCTGCAGCACTGCCCATTTTGCCAACCCTAGAACCTGTCTACCCTTTCTAGATTTTCAAGGTTCTAGCCTAGGGCATTTCATCTCTATAACTGATGGCCTTGCCATGTGTTTTCCCTCCTGGCAGCCACAGCACTAGCAGCAGTAGGACCATCTCTGGTATCACATGAGGTAGGGATCAAGTAGCCCTGGGAACAGGCCAGGACTGGGGTTGGGGTGAGGGCAGAGAGTAGCGTTCTACAAATAAGAACCTTCTAACTACCATGGCCACTTAAACACAACAGGCAATGCCACTGCTCTAACTCTAAAAAGGTGCCCACCAAAATCAATATAGAATGTAAAAATAATTCATGGAATGTTTGATGATAAAAATATGATTCAAACGTCTATAAACTTTTAGAAGGAAAGGATATGTTTATTACCTCGATGGCAATGGTTTGTTAAAATTTAAATTAAAAACTCTGGATTCACTCAGCTTATTAAATGTGAATTATAGCTCATAAAACTTTTTAAGGAAAACACTCCAGGTAACAATTTGTTTTCAGCATTCTATACAGCATACCCCAAACTATATACATTGTAACATAAAGAAACTAGAAAAGAAGCACACTCAAATATCCATGTTACAGTAATAAGATGACAGGTACTTCTATTTCAGTTTCCAGTAAAGTATAAATTTAATTTTCAGACTAAATTTGAATGTATTAAACTTGCAAGGAAAAAGTCCTGGTGGACTTTGTACTTTACAAGTTCAAGAAGAGGTTACAGGGCCAGGGAGATGGCTCAGTAGAATAAGTGCTTTCCTGGCAAGCACAAGGGCCTGAGTTCAATCCCCGGTTCCGCCAAAAAACGAAAAAAACAGCGGCCTAAGAAGAGGTTACAGGGGCTAGGGTAGGGCTGAAGTGTGGACAGACACACAGGGATAGATGCTGATGTAGAGGCCAGGTGCTACGCAAGCACTACATTGGCACCCCTCTCTGACCACATCCTCAGGAGGATCTAGAACTGCTGGAGAGAGGAACAAGTGAGAATCCAGTGGCAAACTCTCTGGCCACAGGTCTCTCAACAAGAAGCAGAGTGAGAGCACAACCCAAGCCAGGCTGCCCCTCCCCACAACTGCACCTTTTAGCCTCAGTGTCACCCAGCAGTGCAGGAAAGGCTACCCATTGATTCATACCTGCTGGTGGCTGCAGGAGGCACATGGTCAGGAGAGGAAAAGATGCGATGCAAGTAGTCATTCAGCAGCTTCTCATGGACAATGCCTGGGCCACAGGTCAGAAGAGAGAAAAGGAGCATGTGTTCAGCACCACTCCGCTCCCGCTAGTCCCAAAGACCACTGGTTCTCGGCCAGCCACAAAGGTAAGAAGAGCGGCCACGTTGGGTGCAGAGCTCCACGGTTACTAATGGAGAAGAGCTGGCTCACAGGAACAAGGGGTGCTAACGGACCTGAAGCTCATCAGGTCTAGGATTTTGCTCCATTTGTCCCTTCCTTCTCCTTCCCCCAAAACAAGGAGCATCCTCCCTGCCCTGAGAGTCCTTACCTGTAACTCTGGATTTCTCAGCATCTGAGGTCAGCTTATAGCTCTTTCTGGAGAAAGACATGCCTGCCCCCTTGGATGCCATACTTCATCTCTCATGGGCAGCTGATGGTTCTGGAGGCAGGGCCAGATGCAAAGCCTATCTACTCACAGCCAGCCAAGGGCCCTATCACTTGACCTCAGTCCTTTGATGACAGGAAGACTGGGAGCAGGTGAGGCCAGAAGCATGTGCACACATGCACATCAACCTACAACAGGAGAAACAGGAGCTCCTAGCTTCCTACACAGGGAGAATTGCTGGAGTCTGAGGCCATGTGGCTGGGATCACAACTTGTTCCACATGGTATTTCAGGGCCCAGCCCACGGCCCACAGAGACAGCAGGTACCGATTATATGTTTGCAGAACCATAACCAAATGTCTCTGTTCCAAGAAAACCGAATTAAAATTCCAAAGTGAGGTGGCCTAGACCCAAGTCCATGTATTCCTTTTGTAAGCCACTCTGGACCCAGTTTATGTTAAGAGAGAATCCTATAGTGCATTTCATCAAGTACAAAACATCACTAATGTGGCCATCTCCAGCTGCAAGTCCCACTTATTCCCCCAAGGCTGACTATGTCCCTCGGCTCCAAGTTCCCCCCTTCTTGTCCACAGTCTTGCCTATTTTTCTTGCTCCAACTTCCCACCTCATCCAGGTACCACCCTTGCCCAACCCTCACAGCAGAGTCCACTCATCACCCCACCGCTATCTGTCCCCCAAGTAATATGTTGCTGCAGCAGTTCAACAACTTGCACGAAGTCCCTGGTGCTGGCCTCACCGATCTGGAGCTGTATGGTCAACACAGTACCTAGCGGCCACATGTGCGTATTAAAATTCAAATCAAAGTTTAGAAAACAAAAAATCCAATTTCTCAATTACATTAACCACATTTTAAGAGTTCCGTAGCCACATGTGGCTGGCCTGGATTGGACTCATCCAACCATCAGAAAATTCTGAGTGACTGTCCGGATGACAGCCCCCAGCACAGCCTCGGACGGCATTCTCCTCAAGGCACTCTTATCTCAGCCCAAAGAGGTCCTTGCCGTCTGCACCACGCCTGCCTCGGTGAGGCGACTCCCGCGCCCTGCCGCCCATCGCCAGCCTTCCGTAGGCGTTCGCGCGCGGTGCCCCTCATAACAGCGCACTTTTAGGACGGATGAGCGCCGTCATTCAAACGTTCTGGAAGCAAATTTTCCTTCCAGACGTGTAGTCTCAAGTGTCAGATGTTGAACCTTCGGACGAGAGGCGGAACTTGTTCCTGTCTGGGGGCTCCCTGTCACTGCGACCCTACCCAGCCCTGCCGGGGGATCCAGGCTTGGAACCGAATCGATTCCACTTCGGGAGTCCAAGGACGCCGAGGGCAGCGCACGGCTCCCCCAAGTCGCCCCCTCCTGGCCCCGAACTCCGGAGGACCTGTCAGGCCGGCTCCTGCCCCGCGTCCCGCACCACATGGGCCGTGACCACCCAGCGCGGACGCTCTCACCCTAGCCTGATCTGGGCCTCGAAGGCAGCCACCCTCGGAGCTCTGCAGCCCCTCACTCACCCCAGCCGCGGCCGCCGCGACTAGCGCACAACATCCGCCCAGCCTCACAGCTACGGCGCCCGTTCAGGGCCAAACCACCCGCCCGCTCGCGCGCCGCGCCTCCTTCCGTGCGCGCGCACGCACTGGTCCGCTCCTACCAGGGGCCGAGGGAACCCTAGGCAAGACCTCCTGCCGAGTTTTTTCCCCTCGTTTTGGGGCAGAGGGCTCAACTGCTTCAGAAATCCCGCCTGCAGAGAAATGGTGACCAAAATCCATGTCCTAACTGGGATCCTGAGGATACCTGTGTCAACTCAAAACCCTAAGGCCTGGCCCTGTGTGTGGCCTACGAGGTCTGAAAGGCCACTCCCACCGAGGTCCCTGCTATCCTCACCCCTACTCTTTTTTAGTCCCAATGGGTGGCCTCACTTACCTTCACTGTAATGAGACCAGTAGGCAGTGAGCCTCCGTGGTGGCCTCTGCTGCCAAGGGCGTGAGCTGACCTGCCTACAGCTGGTCCCAACTGATAAGGCAGGAATAGGGGGAAGGCCACATTGAGGCTCAACCAGGTGATACTCTTTACAGGAAGAAAATGAAGCTTAGAGAAGTTTAATACCACCATCCAGGGGCTGGCACCCAGGCCTCTGGCAACTCCAACGTCCATGAGTCCTGTAGTGAGTCTTCACACAACACACCAGAGTACCTCATGGGTCCCCACTAAACCTTCCTAACTCCAGTCTGTTCGACAGAAAAGCCTCTCAGGGCTGTAGCTATATTGAAGTGAGGGTCCTTGTACTGGATCCAAGGGCTGGGGCCTGGCTCCACCCAGCTTCTGCCACATTCTGTCAGGTCAAGGGCTTACAGACCTGGAGGGGGGGGGTGTGTGTGTGGAGCCAGAGTCACCCAATCCTGCGGGGACAGGTTTCACAACTTCCCGGATGGGGCTGTGGTGGGTCACAGTGCAGTCTCCAGCTAAGAGAATGGGGTGGCTTCTACTCTTGCTGCTTCTGACACCATTCTTGGAGGCCCTTGGTGAGTACTGTTCTGATTCCCACCGGTCTTCAGGAGGGGTTTCTCTATGCCCATGCTGTTATTGTCAGGAGCTCACTTTCCCACTGGGCAGAGAGCAGTGGCCTTGGCTTTTTGAGCAGAGCTGGGAAGCTCTGGGAAAACGTGTATATGGCTTGCTCAGCACAGATGCATATGCACAAGAAGGGACTCCTGAACCTAATCTAGCATATGTTTCACGCAGGCAGAAGCCCAGATTTGGAGTCAGAATGCCTAGGCTGGGTCCCTTTCTGGTTGTTGCAATGGGCTGAGCCTAAGCATTCTCATTTGAGCAATGAGACAGGGCAAGCAAGGAGCATCACCGAAGCTCGCATGGAACATGTGTTAGATCTAAGCGCAGTACTGGGCTCACTAAGCAGAGGTACTAGTGATTACTACCATATCTGGGCCTATTTCCTGCACTCCATGCAGGAGTCTAGGGGTGACTCTTGAAAGCACACACACGTCCCATCCGGGAGGTCTGCTATCTGATGCCCAAAATGAACAAAGTACAGGATATGTCGATACACATGCACTGACATGTGCCTACACCACAGGGCAGCGCTCACCACTGAATGACTTTGAAGTGCTTCGGGGTACAGAGCTGCAGCATTTGCTACACGGAGTAGCTGGGTCTTTGCAGAAGGATATGGTAGATGCTGAAGAGTGTGCTAAGCGCTGTGGGCCCCTCCTGGACTGTCGGTGAGTGGCTGGCCAAGTGGCATAGACATGTCTGGAGGAAAGGGAATCTGAAACTTGGATAACCCTGTGCCTTTTTCTCCCCAGTGCCTTTCACTACAACATGAGCAGCCTTAGCTGCCAGCTGCTGCCATGGACCCAGAACTCGCCTCATACAAGGCTACTGCATTCTGTGGGCTGTGATCTCTTCCAAAAGAAAGGCAAGTAGCTGCCAGGAAGAGTGAGGTGGGGACAGAGTTTGGGCCTTCCGGTCCTGTTCACCTTTCCTCTCTTGCTTGTAGACTATGTTCGGACATGCATTATGGACAAAGGGGTCAGGTACCGGGGTACTGTGGCCAAGACAGTAGGTGGTCTGCTCTGCCAAAGCTGGACTCACAGGTTCCCCAATGACCACAAGTGAGACACATCTTCCCTTTTATTTCTTTTTGTCTTTTTGAGACAGGGTCTCGCCATGCAGTTCAGACTAGCCTGGAGCTCACTTTGTACCCCAAGCTGGCCTTGCACTCATCCTCCTGCCTCAGCCTCCCAAGTATTGGGATTATAGACATGAGCCACCATGCCCAGCTTGTCCCTTTATTTCTGCCAGATTTCTCCCAGCACGTGCTGTAGTGATGTTCTCTTCCTCAGATATAAACCCACACTCCAGAATGGCCTGGAAGAAAACTTCTGCCGCAATCCTGATGGAGACCCCAGAGGTCCTTGGTGCTACACGACAGACCCTACAGTGCGCTTCCAGAGCTGTGGCATCAAGTCCTGCAGGGAGGGTAAGTGGTGCAGGGTGCACTGAGCCTGGGGGGACAGGCGCTCTCTCTTCCAGAAATGCCCTGGCCTTGTATCTCCAGCTGCCTGTGTTTGGTGCAATGGTGAGGATTATCGCGGTTCAGTGGACCACACAGAGTCCGGACGCGAGTGCCAGCGCTGGGACCTGCAGCACCCACATGTACACCCCTTTAAGCCTGGCAAGTATGTGCTTAGGAGGCAGACTAGAGGCACTACCAGATCTATCAAGGTGTATAAAAAACAACTGTAAGGGGCTGGAGTTCCAGGGTCTTATTCAGGCTTAAAGTACTGTCCCCTAGGTTTCCAGACAAAGATCTGAACAATAACTACTGCCGGAATCCTGATGGCTCTGAGAGGCCCTGGTGCTATACCACAGACCCAAAGCTCAAGCGTGAATTCTGCAGTCTCCCCAGCTGCGGTGAGCCTCTGGTCCAGAGCCTAGGAGGGTAACTGGGGAGCCAAGGGGTATGGCTGGGCTGGGTGAGGCCCAGGGGGGTGGGAGTGAGGGTGGAAAGCAAAAACTGAAGAGTACCAGACACCCAGGAATCAGATTTTAGCTTCTTGGGGTCCAACCTGGCTTGGTTTGCCCCAGGGTCTGAGGTGCAAACACACCAAGATGCCACTTTTCACTGCTTCCGTGGGAAGGGTGAAGGCTACCGTGGAGTCGCCAACACCACTTCTGCAGGTGTGCCCTGCCAGCGCTGGGACTCACAGAGCCCACACCAGCACAACTTCCGGCCGGAGAAATACACTTGCAAGTAAGCACAGGGCAGTTGCTGGCAGGTGGCTTGAGATGGGACCAGGCGGGGCTAGAGGACCTTTGTGATCCCACTGGTTGAGCAAGCAAGTGCCTGACAGGGACCTCCGGGAAAACTTCTGCCGGAACCCTGATGGCTCAGAGGCCCCGTGGTGCTTTACATCAAGGCCTGGTATGCGTGTGGCCTTCTGCTACCAGATCCCGCGCTGCACTGACGATGTTCAGACAGTGGGTAAGGCTGGCTCAAGGGGTGCTATGCCTAGGCTGGAAATGCCTGACGGCAGGGTGTAGGGGCCTTGGATGATGGTCACTTGTGCCCACCTTCCCACCACAGATTGCTACCATGGCTCAGGGGAGCAGTATCGCGGTTCTGTCAACAAGACCCGCATGGGTGTCCCATGCCAGCGCTGGTCTGCTGAAATCCCACACAAGCCACGGTGAGTATATGGGCTCCAGACTAGGCCTCCTGACTGGGCAACACAGATTGGCCTGACATGGTCCTGTATCCCACCTAGATTCACACCCACCTCTGCCCCACATGCTCAACTGAAGGAAAACTTCTGCCGGAACCCAGATGGGGATAGCCATGGGCCATGGTGCTACACTACTGACCCAGGGATCTCCTTCGACTACTGTGCCCTGCATCGCTGCAGTAAGAACCAGAGACATTTTCCCCATCCCTAACTCGGCCCCACCTCCAAAGACTGGTTCTCAAACTGGTTGAACTTGGCCTTTCAGATGATCCACCAGTGTCCATCCTGGACCCGCCAGGTACATACTTGCGCCAGGAGTAGGGGGAGCCCTTCTGTCCAGACATCCATCCAAGGAGTTGCAGCCATCTGCCCATCCCCCAGACCAGGTGCAGTTTGAGAAATGTGGCAAGAGGGTGAACAGGCCTGACCAGTGGCTCTCCAAGCTACGCATAGTGGGAGGCCATCCTGGGAACTCACCCTGGACAGTCAGCTTACACAACAGGTGAGGCACAAGTAGCTGTGTCTTCTCTGATGCCAGTGGGAATGGGGACCTGCCCTGATCCCAGAGGTCCTAACTAGAAAACGGCAGGTCTTGTATGTGTTTCAGGACTCACTATTCCTTCTAATGCTCACTCCTCCAGGCAAGGCCAGCATTTCTGCAGTGGGTCCCTAGTGAAAGAGCAGTGGGTACTGACAGCCCGACAATGTTTCTCATCCTGGTAAGCCTCCCTTGGGTTTGGGGATATAGTCCCACCTGTCATGTCTGTCCTCCTGTCAGCCACTTTCCCGCGCAAGTGGGTTATGGGGCAGGAGACTGAGAGTTGAGAACGAGCAGAGTTTCTTTTCCAGCCGTGCGCCTCTCACAGGATATGAGGTGTGGCTGGGTACACTACTTCAGAACCCACAGCCTGGGGAGCCAGGCCTGCAGCACGTCCAAGTGGCACAGATGTTCTGTGGGCCCTCGGATTCCCAGCTTGTCCTCCTCAAGCTGGAGAGGTATGTGGACAAGGTGAAATGGGTGTGAGGAGGGGCCGAGTTTGTGGACCCAAGTCCTGAGTACCTCTTTCCTGCTAAAGACCAGTAACCCTGAACCAGCGTGTGGCCCTGATCTGCCTGCCCCCTGAGCGCTATGTGGTGCCTCCAGCAACCATGTGTGAGATTGCAGGCTGGGGTGAGACCAACGGTAAGGGTCTCGTGGATGGGCATGGGCTGCTGCAGGCCAGGAGGCCCAGCCCTGGATCATGCCCAAGGGCCTATCCCTTTCCTCATTCCCCACACGCTAGGTACAAGACATGACAGGATCCTAAACGTGGCCTTGCTGAATGTCATCTCCAATCAGGAGTGTAATATCAAGCACCGAGGACGTGTACGAGAGACTGAGATGTGCACCAGGGGACTGATGGCTCCTGTAGGAGCCTGTGAGGTCAGCAGCAGGGCTTCTGAGCAGCCCAGGGAGGCTGTGGGTGGCTGGAAATGTATGATGTCATTACCAAAAAGGTTAGTCACTGCCACAGCCAAAGATCCTCATGACTCCTACCTGCCAGGGAGACTACGGAGGCCCACTTGCCTGCTTTACCCATGACTGCTGGGTCCTGGAAGGAATTATAATCCCCAACCGAGTGTGTGCACGGCCTGGATGGCCAGCCATCTTCCTGCGTGTCTCTGTGTTTGTGGACTGGATTCACAAGGTCATCCAACTGGGCTAGGCCTGGCCTTGATCCCTTGCCTTGAAGAGGACAAAAATTCTGGTCAGATGTAAAGTTACTTTCTTCTTTATACCTGTGCAGACTGTTCCTTAGCCTGTTTTTAGGCAGAGTTGGTTCTTTGCTAGAACCTGAAGGCCTTGAGCATGCCTTCGGTTGATCTTACCCTGAAACTACTTTTGCCTGTAGGTGCTGTGGAAGGGCAGGGGCTCGCTCATCTCCCAGAGGCACTCTTGGGAGTAGAAGGTGATGTAGGGCAGTTTCTCCCTGAAGGGAAAGCAGCAAAGCAGCTACACAGTTTAGTGCACAATCCTTGTTGGCCAAGATAGGCAGCCTGAACTTCTCTCCGGCCCTTCTACTGACAGTAGAGGCAGGTTATGTCCTTATGGCTATGACATCCAGGGCCTAGGGTCTCTGAAACATCAGGGTGGGAGCTGATGGCATGGCTGGATGGCATGGTACAAAGTACCAGCATAAACCAGACTCTGTTCTCATTTATTATGACTACATCCCTCTGCCCACTCATCCATGGAGTCTAGAGCCAAGGAAGTTGCTGCTCTGCCAGACTCAAGAGCACCCCAAGAGCAAAGTGTGACGTGAGCCGACCAACTTGTGCGGAATGGCAGGGCTTCAGCTGCCCAAGTGCGTTTGCAGCCAGAGCACAGCATTCATGAAGCTGTCTGATTCCACTTCCACCTCTGATAGTGCGTGGGTGCTTTTAGGATAGAGAAGGAGCCTGTAGGGGTTGGGCGGCAACATTTGAGTCTGGAGGATCTGCCCCTGCTCACCTGCCCCCCAGCTGCCAGGGCTGTCCTGTATTACTCACCGGACAGGCACATTCCGAGCCTTGAGGGCACGGTAATACTCTATGCCCTGCTTAAAGGGTACACGCCGATCTTCCTGGCCCAGCATCAGTAACAGCGGTGTCTTCACCTGAGTGTGTGGGAAGCAGGGGGCAGAGGTAAACTAGGTCCCAAAATCTGGATGGACGGATGGCACATGGGTGAGAAGGTGGGCCAAGTACCTGAGGGATGTATCTGATGGGTGACTTGTCCAGCATCTCTGCCCATACACTAAGGTCTGGTAAGCAGTCGCTGTTATAAGGAAAGCCAGCCTCTACTACACACCTGTGAGAGACCAAGTATAATTGTGTATGCCTATAAGCCCAGCACTCTGGAGGGTGAGGCAGGAAGACTACAAGTTTGAGCCCAGCCTGGGTTACTCAGAAACCTCGCGAGACTGTCTCCAGATAAAGGGGCGGGACAGTATTCTGTGTAAAGGACTTGGGTGAGAGTGCTAAAAGAATTTTTCTGTGTTTTCTTTGAGACAGGGTCTTGCTATGTAGCCTAGGCTGCTTCAGCCTCCTAAGTGCTGGAATTATAGGCATGTACCACCACTGGTATCACAAAAAATGAAGACATCAAGTCAGTGAAGCCCCAGGAACTCGGAGGTCTGTAAGATAAATGTGAATATGGGATGGAAAGGAGGACACACTTACCAGTCAGGGATGTCAGTGGAGCCCATCATAGAGGCAATGTTGATCACAGGATTCCGGGCCACACAGGCCCTGTAAGTCTCTGGATACTGGCCAATCAGGTGGCAGGAGAGGAACCCACCATGGGAGCCACCCATGAGGGCCACACGGCCTGTGTCAAAGTGTTCTTCCTGGAGCACCTGCTCCACTGCAAACTACGGGGTAGAGCACAGTGTACTGCAACCAGCTATTTGCATCCAACCCCTGACAGCCCACCCTCTATAGCTTGTCAGAAGCCCTAGCCCCCTTCTACCTGAACATCCTTCACATCCTGGTGGCCCACGTTGCCTGGAAGGGAAAGGATGCTGTCCTGTCCAAAGCCCGTGGAGCCACGATAGTTCACTAAAGGTGAGGGATATATCAGACAAAGTAGTTAGGCAACACTATCAGCCCCAGGGACGCCGCTTCACACATCGGTGAAGGAAGCCCTAAGATCAGCCACCAAGAGAAAGGAACAAGACACTCCAGGCTGTTACCCAGGGACTACTTCCTTTCCATGGAGGTTCTCAGTTAAGTCCACATTGTTAGATGCTAGGCCAAGGCAATTCCTGGTAGTGGATAATAGAAGGAACTGGCCCATAGACAGGCCTAGAAGTGAGTGGCAGCCACAGGGTTTATGCAAAACAGGATCACCCATCATCCCACCAAAGTCCTAGTAGAGTTATGGGTCTCTCCTTGCTCACCTAGTAGCACTGCAAAGCCCATCTTACATAGCATGGCTGGGAACAGCATCCAGGCAGTAACAAAGGATGAATGGGGTCCTCCTGGAGACAGGAGTGAAGGGTCAAAGGGCCAGCTAGACAAGGTAGAGGAAGGGCATGGTGCTTAGCCTAGATACCTACCGTGGGGCATGACCACCATGGGTACTTGAGTCTTGTCTGGGGGGTCACTTGGCTGCAAAAGGATTGCTTCAAAGTCAAGTCCGGCTGCAGAAAGACAGCAACAGTCAGGAAGGCCAATGCTCCTTCCCTAGGAATTCCCCAGCGAAAGACCCATCTCTAACTGCATGTGTAGGGCTGACCTATGAAACCCATACCATGGCGCATGGGCCTCTGAAACCTCAAGCCTGGTCAAGGAGCCCACTCTGAAGAGACAGCATTCTGGATAAGGTGTGCTTGAATAGGTGTTAGATGAGGCCTGTTGTTTTGGGGCCTTGACTTTCCTACCACATGATTTGGCACTCAGTTCTGATACAGAGAACAGGTGCACAGAACCCTGGGTGCTTCTCCTCAAGACCAAAAGAACAGAAAACCTGTTAGAGGAGTCTCAGAAAACCGTACAGTGTGAGCTAGAAGGCAGGGTCTCCATAGACGCTCTGTGCCATGAAGCCTGGACAAGGTGTCCCTCTGCCCTGGTCCAGCTTACCATACTGTCTATTCTCTTGCTCTGGGGGTGGCTTTAGTACTCGGATGCTCCAGTGGATGTCATGAATGGGCTCAGCCTCCTCCAGGGACACCCACAACACGGACGGCTCCTTCCCTGCAGGAGGCAGGAAGCCAACTTTCTGCCAAGAGGAAGGAAAAGTCTCATAGGTGGTTGGGGTGCCTCCTTGCCTTCTACTTTTTCCCAGAGCACGAGGTAGGCAGCTTTTACTAAGCTGGGCCTCACACCTATCTCCAGAGGACACAGCATAGGTCATTACTGTGAGCTGGTACACACCAAGTGCTCACAGTCACATGTGAACACACCCCACTGACCTCAGGTCCTAGCCTCTGCTATCTCCCTATATTCTATATCAGAGGACCAGTCACTTCCCCAGACCAGACAATAGCCCTTAATGCCTTCCCATTAGAGCCACCCTTATGGACCACGCTGGGTGGGGGTCAGTCTCAGCCCTTCTATGTACTGACAAGCTATGGTTGCCTCTGGGCCAGTAGAGCTGCTGCCTCCCAGCCTGTGACCCATCAACACTCACCAGGCTCGGGGGTAGGCTGGGTGTAGAGAACTGTGCCACCATAAGGTCCCGATCAATTGTAAGCAGCTTCCAGCTTCCACCTAACCCCCCTGGAGAAAAGATGCGAGTAAGTGCCAGCCAGAGCCACCTCCTTTCCCACTCCTCATTCTCTGCAGAGTCCAGGCTAAAGGCTCAATGGAAAGGTAGGCCCCTGTCCCATAAAGGGCAGAAGTCTCCCATGTGGACTGGCTTTCTTGCCTTGCGCTTCTGTTCAGAGCAGGAGGTTGGTGGCTCTTATTAAGCTAAGCCTTATACCTACCTCCAGAGGACACAGATGGGTTCTCACTAAGAGCTGATTATATCAAGGCACTTATACACATGAACATATACCCCACCCTGATTCCAGGCTCAGCCATCTCCTTGCACTCTGCAGTACCACAAACAACTACATGTGGCCCTAGGGAAGTTTCTTGCACAGTACCTGGTTCATCTGGCAGGCACGAGCTGTGCCCAGGAACTGCCAGATCTAGAGACATGCCAGACCATTAATGACTGGAGGTGGCAGCCAGGTACAGGAGTTGTATTGGGTGGAGACAGGGCAGTGGGGTGCACTCAGATGCTTAAGCACAACTTCTCATGAGCTCTAGGTTTAGAACAGCTTTGTAGAGGACCAGGAGCAGGCAGTCAGGGCAGGTAGAATTCAAAACTCATTTCAGGTACAGTCACTAGGCCTGAGTATGGAGATGTCAGACCCTGGGTTCCTGCTGGACCCTGAAGGGTAGAGTTGTCTCTGCCTGCAATAGGCACCCAAGGCTCGGTGAGGGGGACGATGATTGGCAGATTTTGGCAAAAAGAGTATTCTAGGGCCAGGGAGATGGCTCAGTGGAATAAGCACTTCCCTGGCAAGCACAAGGGTCTGAGTTCAATCCCTGGTTCTGCCAAAAAAAAAAAAAAAGTATTCTGTGGCTTTGAGGAACAGGGAAGGTGGTGTGTTGGCTGGGCAAGTGCCTTGCAAAGGCAAGGTCCTAGGGTGACAATCAACAAAGGCTGCAGAAATCAGCGCTGAGAGTGGCTACAGCGCCACTGCTGCCAGAGTCAGCTCCAGACTCAGCCCTCACCTGGCTGGCTGGCTTACCAGCCCTGCTTACCAGCTGTTAGGGACGTCACGCTGCCCGTCTGGGTATCCACTACAAACAGGTCCTAAAGCAAAGAGGAGGCCTCTTAAGTACCACATCCAAGAGCCTTGTGGTTCCTGTCCCCATCTCCTCTCTAACCCCTTGATGACCATGGTCTAGTCTAGGGCTATATGCAGCTATGGTTACGGCTACTCAGTGCAGTAAGAAGAAGCCTAAGGATCTACTCAAATCTCAGTATTACAGCTTACTGAGTGTCCCTGGGCAAGGTAAGGAATGCCACGGAGCCCCCTGAAGTTAGCATGAAGGCAACATCATCCCACACCAAAAAGAGCCTGGTGTGCTGTGGGTGCTATCATACCATTCCCGTAACACTGTTGTCCTTACAATGTATCTGGACCCCCTCTAGCGGCAGATCCTCTGTCACCCAGCTGAAAATGCCTGGAAAGACTGTACTCTGATTCAGGCAAAAAGGCCATGAGCTCTTTAGAGGCAGTACCCCTCCTAAAGGAGCAGTAACAGGTCAGAACAAGCCTGGCAGGCATTCAGCAGGCTAGATGCCTCCCACCCTCTACCCCTGGCACACACATGCTCTGCCACAGGGCTCAGGATCCTGGTGACTGATCACAGGGGCTGCCTCTCCATATAGTCAGGGTCCCTTACCTGTCGGCTCCGCTGAGCAGAGTCAAAGACCACTCTCTGGCTATCAGCTGACCAGCATCCCAGAGGCAGAAGGCTGCAGTAAATTCCAGAAAAGCTCTCTGCAAAGATGGGAAGGTTGGAGCTGTGCCCAGGAGCAAAGGTTTTGTTTTT